ACACCCCCCCCACCCGCGCCTCCCCTCTCCCTCTCCCCAACCCTCAGGCGGCGGCCGAGGAGGAGGAGGCGCGGCGCGAGCTCGCGGTGACGGCTCCGCACCCCCCGGGGGCTGCAAAGAGAGGGGCGACGCGCGCCTTCACAGCTGGAGGCTGTGAACAGGCGGCGGCGCCGCGCGTCTACCTGGTCGGCCGCACGCCGGACTCGCTCCACGCCGAGTACCTCGGCGCCTACGACCGCGAGCCCGAGCTCGTCAACGGGCGGCTCGCCTACGCGATGGCGGGCGACGCGGACAAGATGCTCTGGTTCTCGAGCGTCAACGGCTACTGGCACGCGGGGCCGCGCGCCAACCTCGGCGGGCCGCGCGGCTGGCTCGCGGTGTACGACCGCGCGCCGCTGCCCGAGAGAGTGGCGGCCGAGTGGCAGGTCGGGCGCCGGCCACCGCCACCGCCCACCTGCCCCGGGCCCCTGCTCTTTCCTGCCCCCTGAAGCACGTCCACCGGCGGCTGCAGGCGCCGCGCCTCTGCCGCCTCTCGGCCACCGCGGCAGCGAGTTTACTGCCTCCGTCTCGGTCAGGTGGTTGCCAAGCTTCTGATCGTCGCGACCTTTGTCGAGGACGCGCTGCGCGTGCTCTTTACCTTTGGGGTACAGCAGCAGTCGATGGAGATCGCCGGGTGGACCTCTCCCGCGCTGCACACGCTGTTGCCGCTGCTGTCGCTCGCCGTGCAGTCGTGCGGCGCGCTGCTCGTGCTGGCGTCTTCGGGCGTGGGCGGAGAGGTGGGCTGCTACCTGCTGCTCGGCTGGTGCGTGTGGCACCCCTTCATGTACGGCCAGGCCGGCAACCGCGAGTTTGTGCTCGAGACGGCGACCATCTCCGGCGGGCTGCTGATCCTGCTGTCGCACCTGCTGCTGCTGCGAACAAAGGCGCCGCTGCTTGGCGGGGTGTCGGCGGCGGCGGCGCAGGAGCAGAAGGACCGGACGGCGACGGCGCACCGCATCCAGGCGGTTGGCCGCGTCCTTGTCGTCTCCTTCTTCCTCTACGTCGCCGCGACAAAGACACACGCGTGGTGCTCCTTCCTCTGCCCGGCCTCGCAAACGCTCCCCACGCTCGCTCCCTCCCTCCGCCACCCTCCGCCTCTCCGCCCTACCCTCCCCCCTCCCTCGCTCCCTCGCCAGCGGACCGCCCCCATTGCCCTCTGTGTGTCTTGTTCGTGGCTCTTTCCGGCGGCGCTCCCGCCGTTGGTGGGGGCCTGATTATTCCTCTCTGCGTTCTGTTGCGCGCGCCCTTCATGGTGCGGTCGGTGTCTGGCCTCGTCCGG